ATGACCCCTCACCCCCCCACCATGGACTGTTCTCCCTGCTGCCCTCTGGGAAGAGGCTTCACAGCATTCAATGCAGGGCCAGCAGGTTCTGCAGCAGCTTCTTCCCCACCGCCATCAGACTGTCGAATGTTGTATAAAATGTGGTTTAAAAAAAAAACAAAAACAAAAAAACACTGATTGTTGGAAAAGCAATAAATCGTATCCCAATCTTATGTTTATATTTGATCACCATGTTTACATTTTATCACTGCTGCACTTTAGAAAGCAAAATGTCTTGGGAGCTGTACTGAGCGAAATTTCCTTTTTAATACAGCCTGTGTGTAAGAAATGACAAAGTCTTTCTAAGATCTAAATGTTTAGCTGTAGTTCTAGTTGGATTGATTTTGTGGTTGTCTTGTTAGAAGGTAAACAGGCACCCGAGCATCAGTCTATGGAAAAACATCTTTGCTGCAGTAATAAGTGTATGATTATTGGGACATATTTATCAACGTTCCATGTCTACGGTTTTAGCTCAGTCTGTTTAGTCTTAGAAATAAAAGCTCTTTGATTGGTTTTCCTGTAGGTCTGGACTTTAACTGAGGTGTTTCAACACAGGTAGCATAAATTCACGTTGACCTTATAAATTCCATAAGAACTATATGTTCAGTGTTGACGAGCTGGAAAGTGAATCAAGTGTTTTGAAACTTCTAACTGGGGTTTCTCATTTATTACTCCACATTTAGTATAAATTATCACCCTTTTAGCTATATACAGCTACCATGACATTGCCATCTCCCTGCTTAATGCTGGGGATGATGTTTACTATTGGTATTTCTGCATGAAGGGTGAAAAACAGCTTTAGTTTTGGTCTTATCTAACCAAAAACATGGGAAACTTAATTTGCTTTATTTATCAGCTAGTTTTCTTGTAATGGCAGTGTTACGTAGGTGATTGCACCACTTATGATTTAGAAGTATCGAATTTTTTAAATGCAATCCCACCATTAAGAAATGTATATATCCTTTGTATAATTTTCCTTCATAACAGTGCATCACTTTTAAAAGAAATTAAAAATCTACTGAAATATATGGGTTTGAGGTTTTCACATGGCAAAACTCTCATTATGAATTTATATATCTGGCTGTGATTACATTTACAGACAATGAAAAGATAAAAATTAAAACACAGACTTTATTAGTTATAGCACATACATGATTGCAAAACATGGTTTCAGAGATTAAGAACCACATATATAAACTTTATAATGAGACACATTTAGGGATTTAACGGTTAGATATTAATGTTTGGATGCTTTAAAGACTAACATAGCTTATCAAAATCCTTTGAAGCAGTGACTTGAGATCAGATCCTTCAAATTACACAAACCAAGGACTACAGGAGGGGAAAGGTGCACATAGGTTTGCCGTTTGGTCATAAATGCGAACGAAATAACTGCTGAATCAAAGTTTAATATAACAGTTTGAAAAGAAACACTTGGGTTTAAACAAATTATAGGTCAAAAGTAATGATATTAGCATCAGTATGTTGGCAGGAAGGATTTCATCTTTTCCAGCAGAGCAGCAGGATCCTGCAGGATGGCCAAAAGGCTGCTCCTGTGGCAGAAGGCAGCCAATCCCAGCGCAGCGGAGGACAGCAGGAGGGGCCACATCCGCCACCTCTGAGGCTCGGGCTCGTTGCATGGCCTTGTCTGCATGGGCTGAGCGACTCTCTCCCATTGAGTTAAGATAGCCTGGCGGGCTCCAGCCCACTTTCCAGGACCCCTAAGTCGGTACTGATACGGGGTGCAGGGGCCGAACAGCAGGTTCAGCCCCAGTCTTGGATCCGTCAGCAGCAGCCTGGAGATTCTGGGTCGGACTCCAACCTGATCTGCAATCTCATCCATGTAGTTGACGTAGTCAACCTGGATGGTGTGTCTCTGACTGCGGACATACCTGATGACAAAGCTCGAGTTTAGCATGTGAAAAACATCACTCCTTTTTTACAGCACCAGGATAAGAACAGAAGGTAATAAAAGTGGAGTAACCTTTACCTCTTAGCCATGTCTTCCTTCTTTGACTTGATATCTCGTTGCATGGCAGCTGATGTAGGAAGTTTTATGCAGCCTGTGCAAAAATATTTACTTTATTAAACAAAAATATATATTCATTAAACAAATTTTAAAGAAGAAAACATGCGTTTGTACTGGTCGGATGCTTCTAGCCTATTTCTGATCTCCATGTTCTGACATAAAGATGGCAATTTGCTTTTCTTTCATTGAGAAGTCATCAATTTATCAACAGACCAATATAATATTAACTAAACTAATCATTTGCCATAGCAACTAAAACAATGATGCATTTACTGCTTTGAAGAACAGATCAGATTTTTTAGTATCAGCCACAGAGTCAGTAACCTGACTCCGCCAGATGGATCCATCTGGAAACCTTCCGTTGAAGTAATTTTGGGAAGGGGCGAAAATACTGGTTAGCTGATTGGCCTATGTTGG